CTCCTCCTCCTCCTCCTCCTCCTCCTCCTCCTCCTCCCCCTTTGTTTGGCTTTGTCCTGGTGTTGAAGGAAGGAAAAACACATTTTTCATCTCTGTCATTTGTAGAAGGTGATGATTTAAAAATTATTTTAAAGCGGGCGGTTAAGCTAATACTATTGCAATATACTACTCTGCATTCAACTAGGGAGGGTAATATGTGTAGATGTGTTTGTGTCTTTTTTTTAATGCAAGTTTTTCATTTATTGCTTGTTTTTTGTTTATTTCTGTAAAAAAAGCTTTTTTGGGGGGGGAGTTTTGCATTTTAACTTTCTTTGAATTGAAAATAAACCTTTTTATATAGAGAAGAAATTCTAACATGAATGTCTGTTTAAATTAGATCTGATCTACTTGGTGAAATAAAATGACTTGTGGCTTCAAGCCCATTGGGCCAGGCTTCATCAGGCTCCTTCTCCAGTTCTTCTACTCCTCTTCTGCCATCTTTCTCTCTCTCTTTTCCTTCCTCAGAGCTCCTTCAGCTGACTAAAGAAAGACCCCAGACAGATACAGCAGTAGCCAGACGGCTAGTGACCAGAGCCTTAGGATTACAGCGCAAATATCAGCAGAATTCAGGCTGCCGAGGATTGGAACCGGCAACCACCAACCTGCCAGATTAAAACCAGAGCGGTTTGCAGTGACTTGGGGGTGGCATTAAAACAATGTATACAACAGTTTGATGACGGCGGGTCTCATCAGTTCATTTTGGTTGTGTTGTTGTCGTTGTTGTTTTCAAGTAGCGACAGGCTGGTGGCAATAATCACAACGTTATGTGTTAGAATTGGGAAAGTTGATTTAATCAGTGGGAATTGGTGACTGGGACAGAGGCAGATCTGGGAAGGCCCCACAGGAGGGCACTGTGGCCTATGAGAAGAGCTTCTTCAGCCAGCTCAAAAGTTATTGCCAAAAAAACACCTTGATTGAACACCTTTGTTAGCGTGGAAGCGAGAGGGCCGATTCATTTTTGAAACCTGCAAAGGTTGGCTGGAGCTAGCCTCTCATTCCCGTCAAGAGATAGAATTAAACTTCTTTCAACTGGTATCAAACGTTCTGCTTCTCTCCTTGTGCCTTTTGTCTCTCCTCCCGACCTCGCCGTCCCTTTTCAAAGGCTTGGGTTACTCTCAGGTTACAGGCTGGAGACAGGAGAATTCCTTGGCCTAGCTTTTGATCCCTCGGTCTGGTTTCATTACTATCCCCACAGATACCTTGCCCGGTTCAGCTTCCAAAGGCACTTGAGAAACAGACATTGGGATTCTCACAGGTTGCGTTTTGGATTCCCAAGAGGTCCTTCGGAGCAAGCGAGGTTATGGATGGAACCTTATCCACAGCTCCTTCAAGCAGAGATCTTTTTTTCCCAGGGACGCGGGACTGTTCCTGCAGCTACCACTTGAGTTCAGAAGGACGCCTAAAGTTCCAAGAAGGGTGCAACTTTAGCCACTCGGTGCCCTCTTGAAAGCAAGTTCTTGGGATTCAAAAGTGTTGCACAGCCCTAGCTGGTGGCATTCCACTTTGGGGGAAAACAGTAGAAAAAGGAAGGCTGAAATGTAGCTAGAGCCCTCTTGCCATTTCTCTCCTACCAAACTACATAATGGCTCAGATGAAGTGGATGAATTGATATTGCGGGATCCAATCCGGGTCGGTCACCGGAACCTAGTCTTCTGAGCGTTCAGACTAATGCTAGAGTCCATCCTCGGAGAACTTCTCTCTACTGAAATGTAGAGAGTAGAAAAGAGAGAGAGAGAGAGTAGAACTTCTCTCTACCACACATTCTGGTAGAGAGAAGTTCTCCAAGGATGGACTTCAGCACTAGTCTGAAAGTTCAGAAGACTAAACCTCTAGTCCTGGTGACCGATCCAGATTGGATCTTGCAACATTATCCCGGGACACGTACACGTGCCTTCATTCGTGGGAAATGGTGTTGCTTTAATTCTGCCTTGGGTGTGCTTTCCAAAGGAGTAAGCATGCAACTGCAAGTTTGGGTCTCAAAATTCACAGGGGGGGGGGGAGAATGGGTTCTCAGCCCTCTCATGCTGGATTTCGGGTCTAAGAGTAGATTATGTGTGAAAACACTGGAGGCACAACTGGGAGAGGACCAAGGTCTTCGTAGTTGTTGGCTGTGCGTGCTGCAGCATATTGGCGTAGCTGATTGTGATGTTTTCCTCAACTGCTGTGCATATTAATCTTTTTATTTATGGCACCATTGTTTTTGTTCATCGCCCAGAGTCATTTGTTGAGATGGGTGGCTAGACAAGTTAATCAAATAAATAAACAACTACATTCAGAATAGGTTTGAGTGTGAGCTCTAGGAAATAAGACACAAAGCCCATGATATCTGGCCTATTAGAGCAAAAGAAAAAGGGAAACAGAAGGGAGAGAGGGAAGAAGAAAGAGGTGGGAGGGAGGGAGAAATGAAGGAGGGGAGAGGAAAAAGGAAAGGGAGGAAGAGAGGAAGAGGAAGGAAAGGGAAGGAAGGAAAGAAAGAAAGAAAAAGAAAGAAAGAAAGAAAAAGAAAGAAAGAAAGAAAGACCAGTCCAAACATTGTTTTGTGAATAAGTGACTAGCCTTGTCGTGCCCATTGTGTAGTAGAGATATCCGTTGTGCAGAGAACTTTGGCTCTGAAAGTTTGTTCGTGCAACTTTTTAAAAGAAAGTCTACTAGTGGTCAGCATAATCTCAGTTTATTCATACAACACTTATACCTGTGCAAAATAACAGTTTTCAAATCCTCTTAGCTTATCCTCCCAACCAACGCGTCTGAACTAGTTCTCATTTGACAAGCAAGAATCAGCGAGCGAGCAAGAAAAAGGGAGTGGATGGCTATAAAAAAAAAATCACAGTGTCCCTGATCAAGAAGTGATGTGTGAACTTGGTTTGCATAAATCCACAGTAATGGACGAGACTCTTTGATAATGTGGTTCACCTCTCCGGTTACCAATTTATTTATTTATTTTTTTCTTTCATAAAGTAGCCAAGGAATGAGTTTTCAAGAAGGGAAGGCTTTAAATCATTTTTATGTTTTCTCTTTACAGTTTAGATACATTGAATTCCTTCTCTGTTGTGGTCCCCAAATATGGTGGGTTGAAAGTCTTGATGTAGCAGTACCTATAGTAACATCCACGGCCAGAGACAATCTACCCTTAGTCACTGATGCTTAAAAGAAACAATAGATAAAGTCCACATTCGCCTTTTTGAGCCTCCAAAAACATTTCATTGATTATTATTATTTCAGAAACAAAATGCTAGATATGGTGTTCTGATCCACTGCGGCAAATATAGCTTGATTTTGCAGTTCCCTCTTTTGTATAGGATAGTAAAAATAAGAAAATTGGAACCTTGTGGGTTCGGAAGTACTGTATACAAACTGGGTAAAGGCCTTTACTTTAAAATAAAAAAAAGAATATTCAAGTAGGAATGGTTTTCTGCAGCAATGCATGTCCTCAAACAAACAGAGGCAAATGTGCTTAGCACCATCGTACATTTACTAATGCAGGGGAGGTCGTCAAAAAGTAAAGATGGCTGCAATCACACAGCTGGGAGTAGCCATCTTGATTTTTGGAATTCTCCCTCAAGGACTCCCATGTAAAGTGTGTCCTAAGAAATTCATTTTTTTTTCTTAAAAGATATCGTAGAATAGCTTGCTGTAATGAATAGGGAAGAGGTCTATCGTGGAAAAACGTGATGTATTTCTTAATATTCGTGGGATGACTAAGGGTGGGGTGACGTGGGCGGAAAAGACATGGATTGGAAGATAAGGCAGGGCAAATGAACAGCTCACTGTGTTTCAAAAAATTCACAGATTAGTGGTTTTTAAAACCAAGATGGAAGTTAGGATGACCATATTTTCCTTGCCCTACTGACAGTTCCATCTTTTTTCCCCCCTCCCAAATGTCACCCGTGTTCTTGGAGATGTGAGCAGGTTTAAGATGAAGAAAGGTGACATCCCACCAGTGGCATAGAGTCAGATTTTTGAACATCTGCAAGACCAACTACAAAGGCTGAAAAAAGAAGTCCTCAAAAAAGGTAACTCTGAGCACCCAACTGCCTTGCTGAGTTATCAGTCAGATGCCCCTTCAGACGCTGCAGTGGACCAAGGGTGTGTGTGAGAGAGTTTGCAATTGTTGGAAGTACCTGGAGGGAAGCAAAGTCATACAACTAGTGCAAAACCTTCCTTC